AAAAGCCCTCTGCTTCTTCCTCTCCCGCAGGCCCAACCAGTCCCCCTCCACTGACACCGTCATCTGCCTAACAGAACTTATCCTTACCCTCAACAACTTTTCCCATAACTCCTCCCACTTCCTACGAAAAAGGAGGGGAGGCTATAGGCACCTGTATGGGTCTGAGCTATGCCTCCCTCTTCGTAGGCTACGTGGAACAGTCCCTCTTCTACATTTACACTGGCACCATCCCTCACCTCTTCCTCCATTACATTGATAACTGTATTGGCGCTGCCTCAGGCTCCCTTGAGAAGCTTGAGCAGTTCTTCAACTTTACTAACACCTTTCACCCCAACCTCAGATTCACCTGGACCATCTCTGATACCTTCCTCCCCTTCCTGGACCTCTCCGTCTCCATCTCTGGTGACCGCCTCAAAACTGACATCTATTTCAAACTGACTCCCAGTTACCTTGACTACACCTCCTCTCACCCACCATCCTGCAAGAATGTGATCCCTTACTCCCAATTCTTCCGCCTCCACTGCATCTGCTCCCAAAATGGAGCGTTCCACTCCAAGACATCTCAGATGTCCTCCTACTTGAAGAACCGCAACATTCCCCCGTCTGTTGATTCTTATGCCCTCAGTCACATATCTTGCATCTCCCAGACTTCTGTCCTCAAACCCCTCCCCCCAACAAAAATAAGGACAGAGACCCCCTGGTCCTCACATACCACCCCACCAAACTCCGCATCCAGCGCATCATCCTCCGCCACATGCAAACACCAAAGAGATATTTCACTCCCCACCCCTATCTGCCTTTCGCAGGAACCGCTCACTCCGTGACTCCCTTGTCCACTTCACACTCCTAACCAACTCTACCACACCCGGCACCTTTCTCTGCAACCGCAGGAAGTGCTACACCTGCCCCTACAGTCCCCTCTCACTTTCGTCCAAGACCCCAAACAATCTTTCCAAATCTGAGAGGGATTCACCTGTACATCCTCCAACCTGGTCTACTGTATTCCTTGCTCCTGATGTGGTGTCCACTACATCAATGAGACCAAGCGCAGACTCGATGACCGATTCACAGAGCACCTGCCTTCTGTACACTATAATCAACAACAGCTTCCAGTTGCCAATCATTTTAACTCCGCCTCCCATCCCCTTCATGACGTGTCCATCCTGGGCCCCCTCCAGTGTCACAATGACATCACACGCAAACTGGAGCAACAACACCTTATATTCTGCCTTGGGAGCTTACAGCTCGATGGCCTCAAAATAGAATTCACCAATTTCAAAATCTCCCCATCCCTGGCCTCATCCCATGTCCAACCCTCCCTCTCATCCCAGTCTCCTTGACCTGACACAACCTGTCCATCTTCTTTCCCACATATCTGCCCCTCCCTTCCCACTGGCCAATCTCCACTACTCCTTGACCTGCATCCACCTACCACCATCTCACCTACCTTACCCCAGCCCCACCCCCTTCCCTCCATTTATTTCCAAGTTCCCTTCCCCCTCCCCAGTCCTGATGAAGGACTTAAACCCGAAATATCAACTTTCCTGCTCCTCTGATGCTGCCTGACCTGCTGTGTTCCTCCAGGTGCATACTGTATTGACCTGTCTAGGTACAGATTAGGCTTTAGAGATAATTCTAGCACCAGGTTCATTCTGGTATATCGCAGCAGTGGTGAGTTCTTTCAGGTACAGTGATTGATAGAAATGGGCTAGCATCAGATGTAAAGGATGCCACAGGGGTAGTATAGGCAGATATTGATGTGAGTTTGGAATGATAGTGGGAGAAAACACACAAGGACTCATAGGAAGAAACCCTGCTGACACTTTGAAAAAAAATTTAGTCCTTTGTCATATTTTGTAGCGTGCTTTAAATTTTCATATGGCAGACAGCCTAAGGACAGACATTTTACTTAGACTACCCCAATTTCTGGCAATGATATTTGGACTAGAACAATTGTACCTCAAAATTCTTCTATATTGTAAAGTTAAAAGTGAGTTTTCTTAGTTTCCAAAATAAAGAGGTGAGGTTCAAGTTCTGGTTCCTGACTTCTGTACAAACCTAAATATTTTCATAAACTATTAGAAAAGATTGAGAGCTGTGAAGTGCTCATTATCACACCAAATCTCAACCTTCAGGCTGCTTGCACAAACCTGAAGATCCCTTTTCAACTATCAGATCCTCATCCAATTTGGCAAAAGCTGATCTCAAATCAATTCATTCTGGCATGTTGAAGATGTTAATAGGTTCAGCTAATCCTCCACAAATGTCAGATTACACCTTTTCAGAATGTGAGTATATTTACTTGCAGACCAGGCCCATTCCTGAACACGCAACAATATTCTTGAAATTCTTGTTAAAAGCCTTTTACAGGGAAAGAATGAATGAAGATTCAAAAAAAGAGGCCCACAAGATAGAAGCATAAAACTAATGAAGAAGGAATAGCAAGAGACATGAACATTGGGTTAAAATCCTGGAACTCTACTCTAATGGTACTGTGGCTGTGTATCTATGCCAAGTGGAATGTAGAAGTTCAAGAAGGCAGTCCATAAAGGGCAATTTGTGATGGATAATAAATGCCAGCAAAGCCAGTGAAACCCATATCACCTAAATGAATTAAAAAAGGATTCATTGCAAACATGATCATCTGCAGAAGTAAATATACAGTATATAATACATATTACTGATTTCCACAAGTTTCAGTTTTCCTGACTGAATCATTGCTCGTGGGGCATCTGACAGATGAGTAACTTTGTAGATTTATTCTGGTGAAGATCACATTCAGCCATCTAAATGGCAGCTGAGGAGGTCATGAAAACCAGTATCAATTCCAACAGTCTCCATTTTAATTGCTCCTATTTGCTTAAGATACAAGTCAGCTCCTCGCTGCATGCTTTTCTCTCTCCTGGCAAATGCAAAAAGCTGCATGCTCCACTTCAATATATTAAAGGTACACCTACCTTGTTAGGTTTTTCAGCATCATATTTTCATATAACATTCATTGGTCAATGAGGCATATGGTCTTTGCAACTAGAACCATTTGAAATCATTGATAAAATGTTTCAACATGAAGAGATGTTCTATTCAGAAGTCATCATCTTATTATTAAGAGCCCATTTACAATCCTACACAAGTGTGTTTTTGTTGAAGCAAAATCCACAATGTGTGAAAGGCCCAAAATACCAATAAAATGGAGATCCATAGAGATTTTGTTGCTGATATCAACTACAGTATTGTCTTGGAATACCCCAAATTTTGCACATCAACCTACAGCTTGTTTGCCATTTTAGTTACAGGGTACTTCTTTTTCCCGAAAGCTTACCAGAAATTACAAAACCTCTCTCGTGAGCTAAAGTTTCAGCATTCTTACTCCAACTAATTTTTGAGATTTGTTACCATTTCTATTAGCACATAAAGTCATAATAGAAATAGCCACTGTGACTACTTGTAAAGCAGAAATCCGAATAAAATGGTCCTACTGATGAATATTAATAAGCTAAGAAATGAAACTAATTTTGTCCTAACTTTGTTTCTGCCTGATGCTATAAATATTTTACAACATTTTACTAAAACATTACAAAGTTTGATATAATAATTAAAACCTTGTGAAGGAAATATCTATAATAAGTAAGTCGTTGTCTCAATCCACAATAAGAAATAACATTGAAGAAATGTTGCAAAGTTACAACATGTTACGCGCAATAAATTTGGATAGGAACTGGCTTCGCATAACCACTTATAAAAGATTCGACAATTATACTTATAGACTCCCTTGTCGAGTCGTATTGGATTTTCATCACAGTTTTTGCTTCAATCTGGAAAAAAGTCGACTTCAGTAACTTTTATTTTGAAAACAAGGCCCAGTTAAACGACAACTTTAGTCCAGTGAATAAATTAGAGTTTAAAATAAAACTGTACTGCTGGTAGTCTTCGTAGATAGAGGATTTACATCGATTGCAACTTCGACGTATGATCCTAAATTCTTTTAATAATTATGGTCCCATTGGCAAAGAATTTACATCCTGGCAACTGCTCCATCAGACGGTATTTAATAGGCATGCTTGTTTCCTACTTTATAAACAGGGAATTTCAAGCAAGTGAATTTAAAGCACTATTAACACATTCTGATATCAGGCACATCTGACGTCTGGGAAGATAATAGATAGCACAATGTATCAACTGAAGGAAAAAGAGAAACGCAGTCTACTCGCAATTCATGGCATTATTACTTTATCCACTGGAAATGTAACAAAGCATGTCTGCTAGTCCACACCTTGCCCACTGCAGAACTAGACCACAGAACTATATAACTCTGTTGTCGGAGTTGATAGTAAATCAAAGCTACGGAAAATCACACAGCGGACGTGAACGCTTACAAGAAAACTCTTGTTCGTCTTGATCGCCTAGATACGGCTGTACCTGGATAAAGACTTAATAAATGTATAAATCGTTCGAAAACAGACACCTGTCATAGCGGCTTCCAACATGAATCTGGTCACCGGTCTACAGTCTGACCGCACTGCAACTCAACTCAGCACTTCGACAACTCCCTAAGAGTGACCGAACATTTACATCGATAAAAACACATGCATGGTGTGATAAAATAGCGGTCATGCGCCCTCAACATGTCCTCTTGAAGCTGTATATCTTGAAAGAAATCATGTTTCAGATATTTAAATTATTGAACAAATGTAAACTTTGACTGTCTATAAATCTTGAGGGTAAACACTATCACAGACAGCTGTGAAAATCATTAAACACGTGGGTTTAAGACACGCCAAATAAATGTATCAACAAAATATTCACAATAGTTCGCTGATAATCCATGCAACCAATTAAACTGGACGAAGATGTGAAAGTTTCCCGTATACAACTCGTCCAGTTGTTGGATTCTTAAGTGAGAAAAAAATAAACATCATTCGAGCACAGAGGCACGAAGTCCCCTTCGAGCATACACAATGTATTAGTATATCATAAAGAAGAAAGTTTCCGTTTGCACTTACTAGCTGCAGGCTGGAGATGAAGATGAGGGTACACCTGCCGCTGCAGCAGCCCATGGTTGGTGTTGATGTGAGGGGGAGAGGAGGGAGGGGGGGGTGTCCAACAGGGGCGCGGGCTCCGGCTCTCTGCAGCTTTCCCGCCCGCGGCGCGGCCCGGCCCGCTCCTGATTGTGATGCTCGTGAACACCTGGGCTGGCGGGCGCGCGCTCTCTACCTCCCTCCCTCCACCCGGGCTCAGCGCCGGCCACTGCACGTCACTCCCCTCCCGACCATCACCAAAGCCGGGTACCAGTCCTGTGCCAAGCAACCACAAGAGGAAGAGGAGGACTGGCCGTGCGGAGGTGGGGGTGGGAGGGCTTGTGCAAACTCTCTTTCTGTTGCGGCTGCTCTGGTGTTACCGGAACCCGTGTGCACGGTTGGGCTTCGCCTGTCGACAATTCACTTGTCAGAAGACTGGCAGCGGCTCCCCTCCTTTATCTTTGATGCTAACTGCTGGCGATGCTTATTAGGGGAATGATTTCCCAGCTCTGCTGATGCCGCGACTCGTGGGGGTGGTGGTTGTGTGTTGTGGTGGTGATTGGGTTGGGGAGGGTGTGGTGGATCTACTGATGGCGAAATGAAGAACAGACCCGGATCATAATCTCGTTTCTGCAAGCCAGTCGGTCTCGCTCTGTTGTATCTGTTCGGTGCGGGCGCTGAAATGGAGCTGGGTTTCTGCCAACAACGAGAGAGAGAGAGAGAGAGAAATAAAACCCTCTCGCTCCCGCCGCTGCTACTCGCTGCAGAGATGTAACAGGACGCGAACCTGCTCGGTTTCTCCTGCTGGATTAATCACTCTAACAACTTGTTTCCCCGTCCTCCAGTTATTTTCTCCCTTTCTTTGCTGCCACCAGAATAGAAACAGCAACAGAGATCATACAGATGGGAGACACCATACAATAACTGCTCAGATATGCCATCTGACGCTCCAGATTGGCAAAATCAGCACCGTCACCCCCTTGTTGGAAGTCAGAGACTTGCCATTGCAGCACGAATACCTCTCACAGTACGCCTATCCGTGGGCATATAATAGCATTCAATAGTTTCATCTCTCCATCAGTTTGTGTGAATTCTTCATATTTTAAATCTTAAATGTAAATATAAATACTATTCCACAATTAGAATGAACAGCAGAATGACAATGCCATTAATCGTTTCAATGAATCTAATCTTTTTAAAAAACTGTTTATTTTGTACGCTTGCAATAATATTATATCGTTACCACTTTCTTAAGATCCGTATCTCTTTACGCCATGTCTTTATGTAACATTGTCAATGTTAACGTCGAACTGTGGTTGTTGTGCCATGAACAATTAAATCTGACACCACTGAATATATTCAATATTCAGCTGGAAAGTTGTTCTTTTTCTAATGAATTACTATCGAACTTAATGCTTTCAAAGTATAACGTCGATGCTTTAAATCGATCTTATTTTACATTGGAAGGATAAAGCTAGTTTTGTCCGAATTATATTCTACCGAATAATTTCTGAGTTAAAGGAGGCAGAAAAAATGGTCTGAAATGAACTGTGAGGTGGACATCCTCTCTCCGGAGACTGGTTGACCTACTGAACGCTCCCAGCACGTTCTGCTTTTATTAGCCACCCAAAGGCAGTCGCCGCCTCGCACCGAGGGATGCATTTATTTCCACTACAGAATATTTACAAATTTCTGTTCAACGTTATACATTCTTTTCTTCAGTAAGAAAGCACAGAATATTCCGTTTCTCCCCCAAACCCAAGTATTTTCCAAGTTGTGCGCCACCGAAAATTGAAGATTAAAGGCAAATGAAAGACTATTGGTTAAACCAGAGCGCTACATTATTGTTGTATTTGTAAGTCTGTTCGACGTCAGCCTCTTCCCAATTCACACACGTCCTTCGTACTCCCGACGTAGTATAGTAATTTGCAACTGGTATCTGTCCACACAAATTCTTTCCACACCTTTAGTGTAAGTGTACGCCTGTAGTTATGATATATTTACTTATCTCCGGTGAAGCTGTCAGGCAGGAGCTGCAGGCAATTTCTGACAATCAAAGCGACCTCTTCCGGCAACTTCAATCAGGGACAATACGAGAACTTCCCAATCAGTTGCTTGGAGGCTTTGTTATATCTGCATTTAAAATCATCAAGATTACACTTGGAATAACAAAGAGTAGTTCATTTTAAGCACTGTTATATGCAGCACGAATACTGGGTTCAGTCTCACCTCCAGTTGAACTAATATGAAAACTTAAACTAATATTTAGTCAAAAATTGTGATCGGTAAATTAGGACCGTCTGTCCATGGCTGCGATACTGTCCAGTCGTGCAAAATTCTAAGAAAACGTTTTGTTTTCATTTTGTTGGAAGTCTGTGTAGTTCCTGATGAGGCATTGCTGATAACAACAATTAGGTCCGAATCGAAATATGCTAATAAACCTAATAATTGATAACCAGCTGTCACTTAAATAACAGTTCTGATTTACCATTACCGCATGGGGCAGATTTGAAAGTTCTGGTTTTGCATGTAAAAGAAAATCTGCTCTTGAATATTTCTGTACAATGCATTTCAGCATTTTTGCATTTTGTCTTGCGAAGATTGAGATAAGACACGTTTGATTCATTTTAAAAGGACAACTGCAGCATTGAAGAAAGTACTTTCGTTCATAATACAGATTACTTATTTCTTATCAAACGTTAAAGAGCGAGATAAACCTAATAAGATTGTCGTTTAGAAATTATGTAGTATTGTTACTGCAGGAACGCTAATAGGTCGCTCTGTCAGCTATTTTGAAGGACTCATTTGTTTTCAATAGATTAAGAACTCCATTAAAATAGTTTATAAAGTAATTCTAGACAAATACATTAGGTGCTCATATGTTAAGAAGAGAGGCAATGTATTTCGGGGCTGATTTCTTTAGAATCAGGAATACAAGACAAACATAAGAGCAGGAGTAGGCCATTCAGCCCAATAAGCCTGCTCCACCGTTCAATATGATCTGCTGATTGTCTCGTTTTTTTTAGTTCATTCATGGTTTCATGAGGACCTAGCAGAACCTCTAAATACTATGGACATTTTAAAATTATACTTCCAAGATGTGTTTTCTGTATGACTTTATGATTCTAAGGCTGATACAATCAAAAATGGCTGCAGATGTAAATCAAGTGGGTCTCTAGAGAAAGAGACCTACAGAATATCAAATCTAAAGATGCAAAGGGAATCACAAATAACAGCCCTTCAAAGAAGGGAAGAATCAAGTTAAAACAGAATGGACTATTATCTTGTGCGATTACAAAGTTAATGAGGGTCTGATGACCCCATGCTCAATGGCAAGCCACCCCCTACTATGTCCAAAACTGCAGACACATTTTGTGTTTATCCCTTTGAGGAATACAGAAAGACAATGATTAAAAAGCCAGTTTCAACTCTATGGAGTGAGCCTGTGGGATTGAGGGGTTTATATTACCCAAGAGTATAGGCTGGGTTCAAGCATTAGCATGCTATGACGGGCCCTGTCAAAGAAATATCCATGAGTCATCTGTATATTGCAAGCTAAACAAAAGGAAATAGGACAAAAAGGACACTTTTTCACTTTCAATGCTGAAATTCAATCATGGTCAAAAGGAATCAGAACAACAGAATCTCAACCAAATTGCAATATTGAGGTTTATAAAATCATGAGGGGCATGATACGGTGAACAGCCAATGTCTTTTTCCCAGGGAGGGGGTGTCTAAGCTAGACAACATAAATTTAAGGTGAGAAGGGAAATATTTAGAAAGGATCTAAGGGGTAACTTTTTCAGGCAGAGAGTGTTGCATGTATGGAATGAGCTGCCAAAGGAATTGGTGGATTTACAACATTTAAAAAGTATCTGGATGGGTATCTGATTAGGAAGGGTTTTGAGGGATATGGGCCAAATGCTAGTAAGTGGGACTAGGTCAAATTGGGATGTCTGGTGAGCGTGAACAAGTTGGACCAAAGGGTCTGTTTCTGTACTGTATGACTCTATGACTAAGAATCTTGAAGTCCGCTGTTCAACTACCAAAGTCAATGCTACCAGTAACCTCAACTGCAATGGCTGCAATATTCAATTGTTCTCTCTTCATGAACAATTGTATATACATTTATATATTTTTAAAAAGCTTTTACCTTTCTGTACCCTAATTCTTACCATTTAATAATTAATAAGTTAACTCTTTGTCAATCCAAGAAAGCCCAGACAAATTGCCTTCTTTTAAAGCGTAAGTTAATTTGATTCTGGAAGAAAGCTATCCACAAGCAAAGAGATCCATTCTCAAATTTACCTTGTTGCAACCACCTGTGGGTGGGTGAATATAGAATGGGAATCATTTCATTCCTCCTCATCCAGGAGCTTAAAAATTGAGGCTATCCCATTTGGTAATATAACAAATTGGGGAACTTTGCCCAGTGTCTGGTATAACAGTATGATGTAGAGTTTTGCTGGCTGGGCCAGCATTATTGCCCATCCTACTTGCGTTGTTTGAACTGCTGCTTTCCATTAGTTGTAAATACAACTTCAATGCCTTTTCCCACATTAACATTGTATCCCTTAACATCATTGGCATTTAGAATTCTGTCAATCTCTATATTAAACTCAATGATTGAGTTTTCATAGGCCTCTGGCATAGTCTCCATCAAGTAAGCTTTTAAGACACTTTTTTAAATATAGAACATAGAATAGTACAGCACAGAAATGGGGCCTTTGGCCCATGATGTTGTGCCGAACATGAAGTCAAATTAAGCTAATCCTTTCTGCCTGCTCTGGGTCCATATACCTCCCCTCCTTGTACGTTCATGTGTTTATCTAAAAGTCCCTTAAATGCCCCTAACATATCTGCCTCCACCACTACCTCTGGCAGCGCGGTCCAGACTCTTACCACTCTGTGTAAAAAACTTGTCCCTCACATCTCCTTTGAACTTTCCCCCTTTCACCTTAAATGCATGCCCCCTATTAGACATTTCAACTCTGGGACAAAGATTCTGACTGTCAACCCTATCTATGCATCTCATGATTTTATAGACTTCTATCAAGTCTCCCTTCAGCCCCCACCACTCCAGAGAAAACAACTTAAGTTTTTCTAGCCTCTCCAAATAGCTCATACCCTCTAAT